TATATATATATATATATATATATGTATGTATATATATATATTTTTTATATATGCATGCATGTATGTATATATGTGTGTGCGTATGATATATATATATATATATGTATATATATATATATATATATATATATCATACACACGCACACACATATATATACATACATGCATGCATATAAAAAAATATATATATATATATATATATATATATATATATATATATATATATATATATAGCATACTCACACACTCACACACACATACATACATACATATAATATTATTATATATATACATATTTGCGTGTGACGGAGAGAGAGTATGTGGCACGTGTGTGAGCGAGCACGGATATGCGCAAAGTGTGTAAGTCCCGAAAGAACATTTCCCCGCGGAGAACAGTCCTCGGCCTGCCACACTTCCAATTCTCTACGCATCTGTGTTCATCTCAGGGGAGAGCCACGCCTCCTGTGTGAGCGTGGCAAAAGTGGAACGCCTTGAGGAAGTGGAGCATTATCCTTGAGGTCCGTGGAGGATACGCGCCGTCGGTCTGTCGTGTACAGTGACAACAGGTGTGCAGGGCGTTCACCTACAGACCCGGCCAGGAGATGATCCCAGCTCATGCCGCTTGCATTTGTATCACAAAGGCTCAGTGATGAGATGGGGAAAGGGGGAGGCTGTGATCCGACCCGTGAGGATTTACTGTACTACTGTAAATAGGAATGTTTAAATTGCTGCATATCTGAAATTTGTGTTTCTCTTGGGTTAGTTTTTGTTTTGTTCATGTAATTGAGAAAAAAAGTTTATTAGAGAGAGAGAGAGAGAGATATGGACATGCAGACATAGACAGAGAAAGACAAAAAGAGATAGGCAGACAATTAGATAAGCAGATGGCTGGACAAAGAAAGAAAAAAAAAACATGAAAAGAGGCTACTGACAAGACTTGTTAAACGCAAAAGCTCCTGCGAGTGCCTTGCCCCAAACCGAGAAACGTACCCATGAATATGCTAATATCTTCAAAGTGCAGCCGAACCAATGTGCCACGGAGATTACAGGATCTTATCTCGCGGAATCTCATGTGGTCTCGGCCATTCACGAGATGCGGAGGCTGTGGCCGGGAGGGAGGGAAATTGCAGGATTTACCTGTGCTGCTGCATGGCTGTCGATCCTCGTCTGGCCGGGTGAAGCCTTAACCACGGTCTTGCTTTTAGGCTTTCGTCTTTTTCGTCCCTTTCTTTTTTTTTCTTCTTTTTTTGACTCTTCCTTTTTCCTTTCATTTCTTTTTCTTCCTCCTCTTCTCTTTCATACGTACAGGTAAGGCCTAAATAGGTCTACTATAATCGAAGACCCTCTAGTAAGTAATGGAATGGAAGGTATTGTAGAGGGATAAGTCCATGCTTGTTTAATCTCTTTAAAAGTGACCAGGTTGTAGGATGCTGGAGTAGATAAGATAGGAGGATTTTTTCAGATCTCAGATGGAGGTTATATAGAAAATATCTGTGGGACACAGTTTGCATCTTTGGTACAAAAACTTAAAAGGTTGATATAATGTGATCACACACTGAATGGCGCGTTACCCTCGACCCAACAGATTCTATTGGTCGCCACCCTCCTGTGTGTTTGGAAGGGCCTCGAACTCCCGAACACAAGATTAGCACTCGGCCGCCTTAGCCCACTGAGCCACGAACCACACAATAACGAGAATGTAGAGATTTGGCATTTCTGATTTTCCTCAAGACACCAGACATGGTGACTATGAACTCCAGAGAGCAGCAGCCGACAGAAGAGCATGTAGCAACTAAGCACCCATGAGAAAGAGAATAAGGAATTTTCGATTTAAGTTCGAATTCGAGATATAACATAATATAAGGGGCAATCAATTGTGAAATTCCAATTGGTAAGTATTGTGTGGAGACATTGGAAGCTTCACTACAAGACCAGACGCGATCTCAGGCCTTTGAAGTGCCCAGGGAGGCCACTCTGCTCACACCAAAGGGATCGAGAACAGAGGGTCACCTGTGGGCTACAAAGGCAAGCGGAATACTAGTAGACCTTACTTGTCGAAAGCTTTACTAATGATCTGAATAATGTTTGCATTCAAGGAAGGCGAGCGGTTTAATGGTAGTTGATTTTAACTATCGACTGTTGGTTGATAGTTGGAAGTTCTTCTTGGAGAATCAGGAGTACGTTGGTTAGTTACAGGTGATGAACAGATAACTTTCGAGTATGAAAGGTGATTTTTGTTTTCTTTTCTTCTTTTCAGGATAGGAGCAAACTCGAGAGAATGAGTTTTCAAAATAAATCGTATCTTTATTTATTATTCATTTAGATCTGAAGGTGTGGAGATTTGACAAGGTCGATATATATCGGGAGTAAGGAATGTCGCTAATCCCCTTGACCAAATAGATCACAGCCGGTTGCAGAAGTTAGTAAACAACTTGCAAGACAGAATTATCCAGTATACGTTCATTATTATATTCCACCAGGACTAATATCTAAACCCTATCCCAGTCAATACACATCGAACTCGACTCACTCTGTTCCCTTCCTCTCTATCTGTGTGTGTGTGTGTGTGTGTTAGAGAGATGCACATCACTTTATCTCTTTTCATCTATCATTCTGACTCATCTTTCCTTCCTCCCCCGCAGAGGAGTCCTGGCGGCCGCCCACCGCCTGAACCTGACGTCCCACTTCCACTGGATCGCGTCGGACGGCTGGGGCAAGCAGAGCCACCTGGTGGAGGGGCTGCAGGACGTGGCCGAGGGCGCCATCACCGTCGAACTCACGAGCCAGGTACGATGTTTTTCAATTTCTTTTCTTTGTTCTTTTCTTTTATCTCCTTGGTGTTCATATACCTCTTATGTATTTAGTCTGTATCACTGTAATTAGTTGGTATATCTATCCACCATATATGTTTATGTATATATAGACATAGATAGATTTACTTATTTATATGTGTATATTTATACAGTAAATATATAAGTATATACATACATAAATACATATTTACATATATGTGAGTATACACATATAATATATACATACATACATATACATTTACATATATATATGTGTGTATATATATATATATATATATGTATATGCATATATATATGTACATATATATACATATATATTTACATATATACGTATATATGTATATACATATATGTGTGTGTGTGTGTATACTTTATTGTGCATTACAGATTTAATATATAAATATTATATATATACATATATATCTATATATATGTATATATATTTATATGTATATATATATGTATATATATATATATGTATATATATATATATATATATATATATTTATATATATATTTATATATATGTATATATACACTATATATATGTGTATACTATCATATATATATATACTTATATATATATATAAATATGTATATATACATGCATATATATGTGTGTACATATATATTTATATACATATGTATATGTACATATATATACATATATATATATATATATATATATATATATATATATATATGTATAAACATATATGTATATATTTGAATATATAAATATTATAATATATATATTTATATATATGTATATATACACAAACATTATAATGCTTTGTTAGCCTTGTAAATCACACACACAATGTTTATATGAGTATATATATGTATAAATATATATATAAAAATATGTATATATATAAATATATATATATAGATATGTATATATATATATATATATATATATATATATATATATATAATGTATATGCATATGTGGGTGGGTGTATACATACATGTATATGTGTGTGTGTGTGTGTACATACATACATATGTGTATGTGCGTGCGCGCGCGCGTATATACATGTATGTATATACGAATATATAAATATATTGATATATGAATACAAATATATACAAACACGTATACATATATATACATGATATATAAAAAATATGTATGATATATATGTGTATACATATTAGTATATAATAAATATATAATACAAATATGATATAATATATATAAATATAATATATAATATATACATATATTATACCATGTATGTATATACATATACATATATATATATATATATATATATATATATATATATATATTTATATAAGAACATATATATATATATATATATATATATATATATATATTCACACACACATATAGTAGTCCGTCAGTAAAACTGTAGTGGACCGCTTGTGTACGTTCCCCACAGTCCCCTACTTATGTTTTTTGTCTCCCCACTTATGAGATGGTTATATATATATATATATATATATATATATATATATATATCTATATTTAACGTTTTTTATGCATGTTTATATGTTTACTCATACATACATACATACGTACATATAAATACAATATACAATATATATAATATATATATATATATAAATATATAAATACACACATATACACATGAATATATACAGATATATATGTATACATATATATACATATACATATATACATATACATTCACATATACATATATATATACATATACATATATATATATATATATATATATATATATATATATATATCTATATATATATATATATATATATATTATATATATATATATATAATATATATATATATATTCACACACACATATAGTAGTCCGTCAGTAAAACTGTAGTGGACCGCTTGTGTACGTTCCCCACAGTCCCCTACTTATGTTTTTTGTCTCCCCACTTATGAGATGGTTATATATATATATATATATATATATATATATATATATATATATATATAGTGTGTGTGTGTGTCTGTGTGTGTAGACACACACACAAACACAAACATGCACACATATATAGTATGTATATTATATATGTAATGATTATATATATGTATATAATTATATATGTATATAACTATATATACATATATATCTATATTTAACGTTTTTTATGCATGTTTATATGTTTACTCATACATACATACATACGTACATATAAATACAATATACAAATATATATAAATATATAAATACACACATATACACATGAATATATACAGATATATATGTATACATATATATATACATATACATATATATACAATATATATACATATGTATACATTTATACGTATGAATACATATACATATATACACATATATAAACATATATACACATATACATATATACATATACATTCACATATACATATATATACATATATACATATGTATATACTGTATATACATATATACAACTATATGTGCACACACACACACATATGTATATACATTCTATATATATATATATATATATATATTGTGTGTGATTTATAATGCTTATAAAGCAATTCTAAATAGATCCCTTATGCATACAAATGTACATACATAATTGATTGCAAACAATCGAACACGGAATTCGCCACACAAACTCCGTTATTTGGACGTTTCCGTAACTTCCCTACATTCACAACCAGAACCTCTCTTAGATCCTCTCCTTATTAGCAACCAGAAGCTCACTTTCATCGTATATTGGCTAATGAATCTTCAATGAGAGGAGAAATCCCGGGTGAATTCTCTATGAGGCCCTCGGAGACCGGAGCCAATTAGAGTTTGTAAATAGGGCTGATTTCGTGTCCATACAGCGGTAAGGTAGGGAGGGGTTAGGGGGAGGGAGAGGTGAGAATAAGGGAGCGAAGGAGGGAGAAAGAGAGGAATAAGAGTGGGAATGAGGGAGGGAGGGAGGGAGGGAGGGAGAGAGGGAGAGAAAGAGAGAGAGAGAGGGGGGGGGGGGAGGGAGGGAGGGAGGGGGAGAGAGAGAGAGGGGGGGAGAGGGATGGAGGGAGAGAGAGAGAGAGAGAAAGAGAGAGAGAAGGGGGAGGGGGAGGGAGAGAGAGAGGGAGGGGAAGGAAAAGAGTTAGAGAAAGTATTCTCTATTTGATCATCATTTCTGTTATTTTTGTTATCACTACTATCATGACTATAATCTTTATTTTCCATTATCATTATCAATGTCATTACCGTCATCGCCATCGGTATCATTGTCGCACTTAACTGAAGAAATCAATTGTATCCTGAGCATTTCATTATTAATGAATTTAGAAAATCATTACTTATACTCGCGGAATTGATTAATTACGGAATACACTTATCACGATATTACTCGAGATATTATGTTGATTTCATGAGCAGTTGCGTTTTTTTTTTATGATATATTATAATGAAGTACATTTTTCACTTTTCCATATGATTAGTGTAACTGTAATAGTACTCGATTATTAATTAATGATTTCAAGATCTGTAATATCATTTTTTTCATGTAGTTTTATCCTCGTCTATTGAGAGGGTAAACTCCGAGCCACTGATGCAAGTAAATGCAGGGAATAACTTTACTCTTTACACTAAACTGTAGCAAAATACTTCACTATCACAGTCACTTCACCATTAGTCATTTCATCGGGCCATTTTACTGTCCGCCCTCACGTATTTTTGCAGTGCACGTTTATTACTTTTATTTCAACTTCAACACTTAGATGTAGTTGAATGCATTTATCAGTTTCAGAAAGTATGGCACTTGAATTTAGTTTATAAACCACTTCTAAATTGGATTTATTTCTAAGGAAAAAGCGGTAAAACAAGGGACGAGAGCACATCCCTTTCAACCGGAAGTGAAAAGCGTCCTCTCACCTTTCGTCAGGTTAGGCCTCACACGCCTGCCGTAACCAATAGCAGCTTAACTGATTTCTTTAGCGCGGGAATATTTGCATATGCGAACGAGCTTAACCACCTTTTACCTTTCCATTCACTCCTCTTATTCGCTAGTGTTTATACTTCCGGATATAGAATTATATCTATATATGGTTACGATAAACAGTTGTAACCATCGTGATAATCATCATTATTTCATTATCATTACTATTATAATTATTTTTACAATCATTTTCATTATAATAATCAATATCATTAGCCATAATTTTGTAAGCATCAATGTGTACATAAGTATTTAAAAAAAGGAAACTAAGTTACAACTTGCCAAGAGTTCCTCGTCAGAAGATCAAATAACCGAAATGGATACACAAAGAGAATTCCGACAAGATTAGGAAGAGCTGAATCAGGCCCTCGTAGGGGGGGGGGGGATCAAGGTCAGAGAGTCTTGGGAAAGCTTGACTTACTGTTAATCCACTTTTTTTTTTTTTCTTTTGAATATCCTTGACGGGAATGGCTTCTCCGAGATAATACAGAGCCATATATAACACTGTAATATATTTACAAATATATGCATAAATAGCAAAAATATGTATTCAAGATGCAACAGACACTTGCTGCAACCAAATTCGTTTACCACGAGTCTTCCACTGCCCTGCGTAACAGTAACAATCAGGCGGCAATTGTGGGCAACACTGAGAGACGGTCTTGGGTAACTCTCAGTGACAGTCATGGGCACATATTGAGAGGCAATGAACAGCGATATTTTCCATTTGCAATTACTAAACAGTACAGTAATTAGAAGTTAAATGTCAACAAAACATTATAAAACCAGACACTTACTAAAGACGTGTAGAGATCGGAGCTGAATGAGGAGGTCATAGCTTGGGTGGTTTGCCAATTAATCTTGGGTCGACACCTCGCCGTGAAGCCTACTGCTTCGGAAAGGAGTGAAACCCCAAACCTTGTTCGCACACACGTGCCTAGTGTACTTTAAAATACAGTAAAACAACACCAACCCTTCACACTTGCTAATGATGATGTAAGGTTATCCAAGCCTCATTGATAAGCACTTAGGTTGAAATTAAGCAATTATCTAATCAACAGGGCCTCTATTGTTTTTTTTTTCTTTTGTATGGGATATCCATTTCAGTTATCTGTTCGTCTGCCTGGGAAGTCTTGACGACTTGGAAACATTCCAGTTCCTTTTCATTTCTATTTGTGGCTGTCATTCTTTTTTATCATAAACATCCTTAATCATAATCAGTATGATTATTTATACCATTATTTTTCGTAATTACCATTATCATCAACAGCTGTTATTATTTTTATTACTATTAGTAGTAATATTAGTAGTAGTAGTATGTGTCATTATCTTTCTCATTATTATCATTATCATTATTTTAAAATCATCATTATTTTGTTATTGTTATTTTGCTATTATTATTATTATTATTATTATCATTAACATCATCATCATCATTTTTACCGTTATCGAATGTATCATTATCATGATTTATCTTTATAATCATTGTTGTCGTTATCATTATTACTATCATTATCATTATCTGTTATCAGTATCTTTTTTTTATTAGGATTATTACTGTTTTTAATAATATTTTTATTGCTGTTATTATTATTATTATTTTTATTGCTGTTATTATTATTATCATTATTATTATTATTACCATTATTATTTTCAATATCATTATTATAATGGCCTTCCATGATTTCCGCGTGAAACACGAAATACCTTTCCCTAATGCATTTCCCGGGAACATTGATTTTCAATTTCGAACCGGCACGTATTCCAACAGTAATATCTTTCCGGATTTTGTCACAACTATTTGCATATTTTCTGTAACATTCATTGTTCCTCGGAAGTAATTTACGCAATATACAAAACCAATATATTTTATTTTCCTTTTTAAAGCTCCTATTGGACTCCGATAATTGCATAGAACATCAGTGAAATTTCATTCTGAAACTATTATTTTCGCCTTGACTATATTTGGATAGCAAGGAGCTTTGGGCGATTACAACTTTATTGCATAGGCTAATCACGATTTCCTTTTTTTCAAGTATGCTTAAGAGAGAGAGAGAGAGAGAGAGAGATGGGAGGGGGGGATAGCATGGTCTTAGCATAGTTGAAGTGCGTGCATCAAAATACCTCGCCCCCAGGGGCGGGGAGACTCCAATTAGACTGTTCGAGCAGATTCAGGCAGTGAAGCAGGAAGCCAAACCCTCGAATGCAAATTTCTGTAATTTCTCCATCGGCGTCAAGGCCAGCCAACGAGGCGTGCAGCCCCGACCCATGCACTTCGCAGGTTACGATCCCAGTTTGACTATCCAAATTATACTGAAGACTTCGTCACGGAGATTAAATGGCATGACATCGTGCCAATGCTGTCGTGGACCGAGTCGCGGACGCAACCACGGCACAATTCCCGCGCCGTCGGCTCATCGGCCCTCTTCCTCTTCCTCCGACAGAAGTGGCATCATTTCTTTGGTGTCACTTGGACGCAGGCGAAGGAAGACCTTCACATTTTTGCCTTTAATGAAATCAAGGTTTAAGCCATTAATGCCTAATGTTTTCCGTGAGCTACCGAGCGAGCCGTGCGCAAACAAGTGAAAATACCTGCCAACAACCCCGCATTACTGATCACTAGCCCTTTTTTAATTCCGTTGTTAGTGGTTGAAGTCCTGAAGGTCAAATGGGAGAACACTAAGATTTTTTCTTTTGCCTTTTCAAATGATACGTCTACAATATTTAATATAGTTTTCAGAACTGTTAGTAATGATCGAAGTATGAATGTGATTAGGTATTCGTTAAAATCTGTGATCTGAGTTTGTATTTTAGGCTCGCACCTGTCACCGGGATCATTTGGGTGCATTAAAGTAATAAAAAATTAAAGTAATAAAAAAAGGAATATGGACACCTGATCTACCTGCGTATAGAAAGCACTCCTGATAACGATATGCTATTAGCAACTAGACAAATATTGCATAAATATACAATAACTGAGGCAACTGGCTGTGGTATAAACATCGATGAAGGAAAGGCAAAGATTTTTTTTTTTTATCAATGGCGATGATTCCGACACTAATGATTACCGACAGGCTTATAGTAAGATAGTGTAATCTTTATATGAATTTCGGTTCCCTAATTACATGACTTTCCATCATCATCAGTCGACCTCCGCACAAAATTCAAAATGGAGGTGAACAAATTCATCGTGTTTGTCATGAAAAAACAGTCAATTCATTGTTAAGAGACGCATTTTCGAGACTGCCCTAATACCCTTATGCCCTCTATGA